CTTCTTGATCTGAGTGCTCAAAATTATCGGCCATCAAGCATAGATTAGTGACTTCCTCTTCCTTATCAGTCTCTAATGAGTCTGAAGCTGAGTCTACCCAAAAAGCTCTTTAGAATTTCTTGTTGCCCTTCTTTATAATTAATTTCTCCTCTACCTTCTCCTTGCTAGAGGTGGCTTTGAGTTTTGGGTAGTCTGTCTTATTGTGTCTAGGTTTCTTGCACTCATAGCAAATAACATAATTTGAAACCTTAATATTTTTATTGAACTTACCTCGATTCCATTACTGGCTTTTCTTTTTCTTCCTCTTCAGAAAGCTTCTGATTTGTCTAGTCATCAGTGTGATGTCGTTTTCATCCTCAAGTTCTGATAGATCACTCTTTGACTCCTCCACTTTTATTGCAATGTTCTTCTCCCTTTGTGGTTCACTAGTATTAATCTTTCTTTAACTCACTCATTACTCGTAAGCAATTAGTGATCCAATAAGATTATCAATAGAGTAAATATTTAAGTCTTTAGACTATGTAATCATAGTTATTTTAGCATCATATATAGTAGACAAACTATGAAGTATATTATTAACCATTTCAGTGTTCGTTAGTTCCCTACCCAATGCATGTAAAGAGGTGACTATTTGTGTGAATCTTATATACATGTCAGAAATGAATTCATTAGGTTTCATGCGAAACAGTTTATACTCATGCAACAGGATATTAAGTCTGGATTGTTTAACTTCATTAGTCCATTCATATGTTATATAAAGTCTATCCCATATGTCCTTTTCACTCTTACAAGTGGAAACCTGCATGTAATCTTCTGACTTAAGTGCACAAAAGAAACTATTTAAACATTTAGCATTCAGTTGTGCTAAGTCATGTTCTTCTACAGTCCAATCCACAAAGGGTGTTTCTATTCTAATGCCATCAACTAGTCTAGTTAGTTTTGTATGCCCTTCCTAAACTAAGATCCACATACAGTAATCTAGTGACTGTAAAAATATTGACATGCATGTTTTCCAAAAAAACAAAAGGAATATTGTCAAATAAGGGAGGTCTAATTATAGAGTAACCTTCAGGTGTGTTTCAGTTTCCAAATGTAGCCATGGTCTTTAATCAAAAAGTAGTATAAACTTATGATTTTGAAACTAAGCTCTGATACCATTTATTAAAACTTGTTA